AAAAGGTGGAAAACGTTTTCCATGGAAAAATTTACCTATCAAACAGCTTTTTAAGGGTGGAAAAGGAAAATGTTTTCCTTTTCCATTGAAAACTAAGGCTATCAAACGGAGCCTAAATCTAGTCTTAATATGAAATCGGAATTTATTAAGCTCAAACAAACAATTCAATACAATTATGACTAAAAAACGAATATATGAATTTCAAAATTAGCCTTTTCAAATGAACCACCATTTTTCTGTGATATAGACAATAAACAATATACAAGAGCTTGTGTCCACGTGTCAAAACATCGATCCGTCGGACTGCACCTCAGGGGGCCTTGTAACAAGTATTGTCTTCAAACCAGTACCAAACTGAAACTAAAAAAGAGGCCATACTGTTACAATATTGGGCCTAAGGCAATCAGCAGAATAGTTTGGGAAAGATGTGGCAACGCAATGTTCTGGATTTTATTCTTACTTGAATATGGGGAAAATGATACACGGCCTTTTCAAAGTATAAACTAAAAATATTGTAAACGTCGAAAAAGTTTAAGGGTGTGTTTGAGTTGTTGGACAGATCAGTACAGAATCCCAGCAAGAAACGAACTCTACATCAAAAGATAGGGATATACCAAACAAGATACAAGATATAGCTCCAGCAAGAAGTTAACTTTGCACCAACTTCCTACAATAGATAGGAATGTATATTTGTAATCCAAATCAGAATTAAAATTGTAACCCAACTCAATCTCTGTAAATCTATTTAAACCATCAATATACTTCACTACGGGCAAGCAAGTCAGCCTATTTTTTGCTCAGTCTATTAAGTATTTTCATGGTATCAGAGCTTTTTGCTCACGCATAGCTTTCGATCCTTTTCGCCTTCCTTCCATGGCCACCACATCCAATTCCTCTACAGTATTTGTTGCCCAAAACTTGAATCAATTGGTATCTACTAAACTTGATGGATCCAATTATCTCATCTGGTTATCTCAAATGGTTCATATACTCAAAAGCAATGATTTGATGGGCTTCGTGGATGGTTCCGAGCCGTGTCCATCAAAATTTCTTCCTGATGATCAAGGAAAATTAACCACTGATATCGACCCACAGTTTATCATATGGCACAAAAAGGATCAATTTGTGCTCGGTTGGATCAATGCTACTCTGTCCAACACTGTGGCTCCTACTGTATTCGGACTCACCTCTGCTAGTCATGCTTGGACTGCATTGGAAAAGAAGTTTGCTTCCAACTCTCGATCTCGCATTAGCCATCTCAAACGCAAGCTTCAATCCCTCACTCAAGGCTCCCGTAGCTGCTCTATTTATCTCGATGAAGCTAGGGAAATTGCAGCTGAACTTAGTGCTGCGGGAAAAACGGTTGATGACGATGACTTGATCACCGATGTCACTCATGGCCTAAACCCCATATTTCTTCACTTCATGACCTCCCTGTCACTAGCCACCCGAGATAATCCACTATCATTTGATGACTTTCGAACTGAACTCCTCTCCAATGAACTTCTCCTAGATTCACAATTCAAAAATAACTCTAATGAAACAAATCAGTTTGCCTTATTTGCACCTAAACCTCCTTTCAACTCCTTTACTAAAAACCCAAAATATTCCCAGAAACCAACCCATCCTGCATTCCCTAGTCCTCATTACCGAGTCCACCGTAACTTCATCCCACCTTCGAAACCATCATCCAGTCCAGTCCCTACTCACCATCACTATAATACTCCCCAACCATCACCAAATATCACCTCTCCCCGTTCTCCTTGCCAAATATGTGGCAAATCAAGTCATCAAGCCTTGGATTGTTTTCATCAAATGGACTATGCATATCAGGGAAGACATCTTCCTGCTCAACTTGCTGCAATGGTTGCTCACACCAACTCTGAACATGAAACTGAGACATGGTTTGCCGATAGTGGAGCTAATCAACATATTACGTCTAATCTTGAGCAACTCACTCTTGCACAGCCATACACAGGGCGAGAACACGTAGCAGTCGGTAATGGTTAGGGTTTAAGTATTGCGAATACTGGTAATGCAACCTTTCATACCCCTGATAATCAATTTCACCTCAAACATGTCCTACATTGTCCTAATGTCGTAGCTAATCTTCTCTCCATTAATCAGTTTTGCATTGACAACAATTGTTTCTTTATTCTCACTAAATCCCACTTTTTTGTGAAGGACACACTGTCGGGGAAGACACTACTCGAAGGCAGGAGTGAAGGTGGTCTCTATC